ATCCGGTCGCAATTTCCGCATTCTCCGACGTAGTAGATCTCGGATCTGGATCTATTCGGGAATTTGAATAAGGCGCCAAAAATACTACATATCTGAAATCCACCATCGCCAGATCCAGGCAGACGACGCCGGAGATATAAAAAAGTTGAAGTCGAAGAAGAGCCTTCCGGTGATGATAAGGTTGGAAATGAGAAGGAAAAAATGTTGGTGGAGTCGGAAGAGGGAGGAGAGGAGAAATCGGAAGAAGGAAGAAAACAGAGAGATGGAATGGGAGAAGAAGAAGAAAGGAAAGAAAAGAAAGGAAAGGAGAAGAAAACGAAAGGGGGAGGGGGGCTGCCGCAGGAAGGAAAGAAAAAAAAGAAATAGGAAGGGCATTTAAGTCATTTTAACAAAGAAAACTTTCTAAAAAAGGAAATGGGAACATTATTTATGGACGGACCAAAAAGGAAAGTGAGAACTTTAATTATGGACGGAGGGAGTATTTGACATTGACTCTTATCCATAGTCATAACAAAACGTAAAGCGTTCATCGTCGTATATCTTCCTCTGGTGTTCATTCATCGTAAACATATATTATTATCTCCGTCCTAAAACTATCTTCACACTTCTTCATTTTTAATATCCTAAAATTACCTTCCCACATCCTAAAAAAGGTGTAAAATGACAATCCTAGCCTTACAACATTTACTCCCCAACCTTCCTACTCTATCAACATTCTTTCTCCCTCTTATCTTCGTCTCTCTTTCTATTCCCCTCCTCAAAACCTAGATCTAATCTAGGGATCAAAGTTGCCATCATCGTCTTTCTTGAGATCGTCTCATCATCATCACCTCCCCCACCACACTCGGAATCTCGGCATTGCAACAATCTTAGCCTTACAACATCTACTCCCCAACCTTCCTACTCTATCGACATTCTTTCTCCCTCTTATCTTCGTCTCTCTTTCTATTCCCCTCCTCAAAACCTAGATCTAATCTAGGGATCAAAGTTGCAATCATCTTCGTTCTTGAGATCGTCTCATCATCATCACCTCCCCCTCCACAATCAGAATCTCGACATCTCAACATCTCCACTCGCATCTAGGGATTGGGGTTGCAGGAGGACGCCTGTAGGAGTAGTAAGGTCGCCGGTATGTGATTCGAAGGCTAAATAGCTTCACAGAATTGGAGATGATGATGAGCCTCATTAGCCGCTACCTTCAATCAGAAATTGACCTAGGTATGTTTTTTCTATAACCGTCTAGAGTTTTTTTTCAATTATTTTTTAATCACAATTCAGTCCTTTTTCGATTGGTTATTCAATCTGTTACTCATCAATTGTTTTCTTATTTGGCCACATTTATATGCCACTTCATTAGCAGCTGTGCTATTCGATCGGGCCAGACATGTTACTTGTGGTATGTTGGTCATTTATCGCCGACGAGCAAGCCGCCCCGCCACCGTTTACATTGCCCAGTTATTGAAAAGATATAAAACTTTTATGTTTTCGGGTTTAGATGGAGGGGCATTTTGGATGTCAAATCCATATTAATCAATACCTTAAAATGGGTTTTAGTCAATATGGGAAGTTAGATCCGAGATGAAGATGGAAGATGGATCCTTTAGTTGACCATACATAAATACCCAAAAAAATACGAAACATACCTAATTTGCAGACTTTTCTTCGCGGAGATGGAAGATGGATCCTTTAGTTGACCTGCATCGCGATAGATCCGAGATGAATATGGAAGTTTCTACTTTAGCTCTTGGTAAATCCTTGAACAAATCTAAGAAATCGCGGATTTCACTCGATGGAGGAAGACAGACGAGAGAAATTTTTCTCTAACGCTTAAATGAGGCGATAAAGATGGGGGGACGCTGAAAATGCACCAAATTAGGATACGTGGAGGGCTGATGTGGCATAAAATTAAACCATCTTTAAGTGACACATGTCATCATTCTACTTAATCAACTCTCAAATTTTATATTAAAGAATTTACTAAATTCTCAAAATAATATTTAATAAGTATGAGTTTTTCTAAATTAGTCTCCATAATTAATTAATTCTAGGGATGATATTCGTTAATTGATAAAAATGCTAAGTTCAGTCCCCCCGACTAAAAGCGTTAAAACGATATTAAATCCTATACTACTTTTCCAAAATGGTACTCTCAAACTGTATGTTTTCTCTAATTAATCCATTTTTGAAATAAAAATATATTAATTATGAAAAAATATTTTAAATTTTATAAAATGACAATCCAATACTAAAACTATAAATATAATTTTATAATTTTGAAAGTAAACGTCTTTTATTATTTACAATTATTGAGAACATTATGCAAATAAAATGTTCAATAAATATTAAAGAAATCACTATAAATATGAGTAAAACATAAAGAAAAAACTTCTATTTTCGTATTTTCTTTATATTTTACTCATATTTAGGGAGATTTATTTAACGTTTATTTAACACTTTATTAACATAATATTCTTCTAAATAATTGTAAATAATCCAAAGCATTTTCTTTCAAATTTATAAAATTATATTTGTAATTATTAGTATTATATTGTCATCCTATAAAATTTAAAATATTTTTTCATAATTAATGTATTTTTATTTCGAAAATGGACCAAGTTGAGAAACACTCGGTTTGAGAGTACATTTTGGAATAATAGTATAAGGTTTAACTTCGTTTTAGCGGCCATTAGTCGAAAGGATTGAACAGAGCATTATTCTCAATTAACGAATGCCATCTCGGAAATTAGTTAATTTTGGGGAATAATCTGGCTAAATACATAGTTATTGAGTGCCATTTTGAAAATTTACTATTCTCAATTTGTATTACGTAACTTAAGTTTAATGCAATAAAATTTTGAAAGTTCTTATACATATTTTTAATGGAATTATTACTATCAATTTGTATTACGGTTCTCTTTCTTTTTACAAAATTGAAATATGTACATACATACATACATACATAAATATATATATATATACACACACACACACACGTACACATACATATACATATATAGATACATACATACATAAATGTGTGTGTATTAAAGTTTATAATATAAGTATATATCTAAAGATCACCAAAAAATTGATCTTTATTTTAGTTATAATGTAGAAAGACCAAAGTAGGATTAAAACATTGAAGATATACCAAAATAGGACTTCCATGTTTTTATTCCTAAAATAGAACTTACATTACCAAATATGGTCATATACTTTACCAAGAAAGTATAGTAATTTGCACATGTACACTGCCACATTACCACAATGCAAAGTCACATTACCACTACAAAGTCCTATTCTGGGAAAAAAACATGAAAGTCCTATTTTAGTACTTTTCTCTATGTTTTAGTCCTATTTAGGATGATTTCTATAGTTATAAATTCAATTCTCAAACAATACAATACAATACTACTACCTCTGTGTTTGAATATTCATCGAGTTTTAACTTTTTGCGGTAAATATTAATAAACTGTAACCACTAATTAAATAAAATTGATACTCCCTCCACCCAACAATTATCTTCCTATTGTAAATCACGATGTTTGACTGAAATTATTTTCAAATCATTTTATATAAAAAATGATGAGGAATTAAAAAATAAAAATTACTTATTAAAAAACTACATCTAAAGTTGTACAAAATTATAGACTGGCTCCACAAACCAACACAATCTTTTTTCCGCGCACTTTGTCCTTACTCGTGTGCGGGAAAGACTTGTGTTAGTTTTTGGGATCAGTCTATAATCCTATGAGCAGACGCTTACTGCCAGGGTGGGAGCCGAGGTGTTACAAATGGAATCAGAGCAATCCTGCTACCGTGACGAGCCAACGAGCTTAGTTCACATAGCGGGGAAGATTTTGGGGTTTGAAAAAAGGATGCATCAAGGACGTTAAGTGAGAGTGAATGTAATACTCTGATTTTAAAATAAATGGATTGGGAAAAGAAAGGCTCAATAGGATTGATAATACGATTCATACCAACAAGGTGCATAATCTTTTCGAGAGCTCATCACCAAAAAACTCCAATGTTTAGTGCGCTTGACCTGGAGCAATTCTAGGATGGGTGACCCCTGGAAAGTTTTCTTGGGCGCGCACGAGTGAGGATAAAGTGTGCGAGAAAGACTTGTGTTGATTTGTGGGGCCAGTCTACAATTCTATGAGCGGACACTTACGGTCGGGGTGTTACATGACATTTAAAATAGAAATAATTCTAATACAAATTATGTGTCACGAAGAACAATTCATTTTAATATTTTTGGATATTCGACGAAATATATAAAAAAATAAAAATAGCATTATTTTATAAAACTTTTAATGTATTTCTCGATATGTGAATTTTATTTTAAATATAAATGGACTAACAAAATAAAAGATTAATTTTTATAATTTCAATATACTCAAAATATCATAAAATTTTATGTACATATGAAAAGAGTTATTTTTATTTTATACAAAATAATTATGTTTTCACTATTAATTATATAGTGAAAATATAATTATATAGTGACAACCGGATAATTATTTTCACTATTAATTTACCCGTATATCATATTTTTACGCATCACATCCAAAGGTTTTTTGGAATATAAACACTAAAATATATTCATGTTAAATTTTAAAAGTCAAAATAGAAAAAAGTTTTATACTCGTTAAGACGAAAGAGGTAAATAATTACTCCATCCGTCAAGAAATATTCTTCCCGTGTTAACTTGGCACGCTTATTAAGGAATAGTAAAAAAATGCAAAATTTTCAAAAATGCACATACTATAAACTTTTAAATCTCCTTTTATTATTAAAAAAGTACTAAAAAAAAATTGTGATAAAATAGAAGAATATTATTGATAATTAAGAATATTTTTGAAGAGACCAACATATTTCCTGACGGATGAGGGAGTAGAATAAGTTGGGTTTCGGGTGATTTGCCAAGGAAAGCACGCTTCCCAGAAAAAGGAAAGGCTGCCCTTTCTTTATAAACACGCCCCGCCCGAAAACAAAAATATCTGGATCTTCATTCACCATCGTCATACCCAAAATCGGAATCAATACATTTTGATCATATACGATATTTGAGATGTGTGTCCATAGCTGCGTTGTTGGAGCCTCGAATCTGCTGGTGTTTATATCCAGAGGGCAATTCTTGAATCGGAGAAGAGAGTCAATGGAGTTTTACACGTACCCATCTTCGTCTTCAGCTCTCTCTTCGTTTTCATTTGACAATCTAGTTGCAAAGGCCAAACGATTCTTCACATTTGCCGTGTCTTCTTTCATCGGCAATGTCTTCTCTGCCATCTTTACCTTTTTCTTCGCTCTAGGTATGTGTTTCTTATGCATTTTAATATTTTCAAGCTCGAATTTCTTGCATTATTGCAATAGCTCATTCTTTTTTTTCCGGATGCAATTAGGGTCTACCCGTTTAAGAACTTTAGGAATTTATGCTTACGATGATGATAATTGATAAACCCTCAATAGGGCCAGCCCTAATATATATGGGAATTTTGTGCCCTCAGAAACTCACGAATTTAACAAGATCAGGGGAAATAGAAAGTGATCAAAGCGTGATCGACACATTGTTAGGTCTTCTTTTATAAGCACTACATATGCAATGTGCTGCAATGTTTATATAATTCTATCTTGATGACTGCAAAATGATGTGTGGAGAAATTATATTTCTGCAATACTTCATAAAATTTTCAACTTAAAAGTATAAATTATGAAGTGTGATGTTTTAGTTCATCGATTACATCTAGTAATCCCCATACATCATTTTCCCAAACCCAGCCAAACAAAGCTATATGCATTCATCTCTAGGTATAAGCATTCATCTGAAATTTGTCTTACCCTACCTCAAGTTAGTTCAACACAAATCGCCAGTCTTTCTTGTGCAACTTCAAGCAGGCCCAGAAAAGAATTTTCTTTCACTTTAACACCACTATAACCAACCAGATTTCCACATCATTTTCTTAATCTTTTGCTTATGTTGTAAAGAATTTATTGAGAGCACCCTTTTGCTATTATGATTAAATCAATCTGAATGTGGAAGAACAGTGAATTGTCGGCTAAGAGGCCTGAAACGAAGGGAATTTCAATAATCTCAATTAGAGAATCCTACTTCAATTGTTTTTGTCTCTTGCAGTTTAGCTCTCATCGTTCTCTTCTTGTATGCTGCCTCATTGCCTCATTAGTCAACGTCTCTTCAGTATTCAATAGATGGGCTCAGGGACTATTGGGATTACTATTACTACATTTTTAAAAACATTGGGCCCATCTTATTATTCGGGGCCCCTGTTAATACAGGCCCAGCACTGGACATGAGTTTAACCATTTTACCATTTACATTTAGTCTACTTTAAAACAAACTGATGGGGGGGGGAGTAAAAAAAGAAAAATGGCTTCTACATAAGGAATACTGACTGTATTGAAGAGGTATAGGTATAGAAAATAACGCATGGAGGGGGAAAAATGAATCTATCCACTCATTTCATACTAATTGGTGGGACTGATGAAGCAATTTTGACTTTGTCTGTGCAGTGGGTACCTTATTAGGAGCAATGACTGGAGCTTTAATTGGCCAAGAGACAGAGAGTGGGTTTATAAGAGGTGCAGCCGTAGGTGCTATCTCTGGAGCTGTTTTTTCTCTTGAAGTCTTTGAGTCATCTCTGCTGTTGTGGCAGTCTGATGAATCCGGGATTGGGTGTCTCCTATACTTGGTAAGCAGGACTTCTTAGCTCTCTCGAATTCACTGCATGATAACTGAATTATGTATCTTTCAGAAATTGTGGGTTTTTGTTTAATATAACTTGTAATGACGAGTATAGAGTGTAACAACAAAACCCAGTATATTCCCAACCTCGTTGGGGTTTGGAGGTACGCAGCATTACCCACATACTCCCTCCATCCCACTCTTTTTGTCCACTTTTATTTTGGCACAAATACCAAGGTAAGGAGAATTAGGAGACGAAGCCACAATTTCCCCTTGTACTTTTGGGTGTCCATCACGGTTCAATTTCCCAGATCTTTCCTAAAAAACCCCAGATCTCATCTGCTATTGATTTCAATCTTCAATTGGAAATCTATGTCCTCACCCACCAATACTTACCAAAATTTATTAATTTCTGAGTCTTTTTCTTTTGTTCTTCCCCAATTGCGAGGGCTTCTATTAATTTTCATCCAGAACCACAACAATTCTTATCTCCTTGTGGTAGTCAGGCTATGTTTTGATCTAGACTCAATCTGATTTGCATAAGCGCGATGTCCAAGAAGAGTCGATTCGAGCAACGGGTTGCTGCATCAACTTGCTGGACATCTTCAGCCATGACTCCGTTCAATAAGTGGCAGAGGAGGATGAGAAGTCTAGAAGAAAGAGATCGCAGATAGTGGTGAAAAAAGGGAATACATTAGTGGTAGGTGGGTTGATATAACTCACACGGAGTAAACTGTAAAAGGGAAGCATAACTGGCACACCTTTGATGCATTGTTGACTTGTTGTATTTAAGACTCAAAGCTTCATTGAAAGTAAAAAGCAAATGTAGTTTGATGTCTCACTTCGATTAAGTCCATTATTTAATCAAAGCTAAAACATACACTGGTACTTGCCTTTTAATATATGATGCCTAAAGGCATTTTGTTTGGAAGGACTACAGTGCTCCCCATTTGGGTTAGATGGTCATGTGTAGGATAGTACCTACCGTTTGTTTGGAGGGACTAAAATGCTCCATATTTGGTTAGATGGTCATGCATAGGGTAGTTTTAGCAGGATAACATTATTCTGATCATTTTTTTCTAATTTGATATTCCTTAATCAAGTCTTGATTCAAAACATCTTTGATTGAATGCTTAATTGATGAGTGTCTTGGAAATTATTCAGATTGATGTGATTGCAAGCCTTTTGAGTGGTAGGCTTGTTCGTGAGCGTATTGGTCCGGCAATGCTGAGTGCAGTCCAAAGTCAGGTATCATCACCATAACTTTACCTTGTAACTCTGTTTGAGTCCACAACCGATCTAACTATTAATGTCATCTATTGTCAGATGGGAGCCATTGAAGCTGCATACGACGAAGCATCCAACATTTTTTACCTAGGTGGTTCAAAGGGCTTACCCGGAGATTCCGTTGAAAGGATTCCAAAAATAGTAATAACTTGTGATAACAATATTGATGCTTCCGGGGAGAGAGTCTCGTGTTCAGTATGTCTACAGGTACTTCATGCCACAATTCCTTAATTGTTTTACGCTTCACCTATTGCCCATCCCTTGGCACCACTCACCGTGTTGAGGCTGTTTGAACAATACAATGTCTACTTGTTTGAATAGGACTTTCAGCTCGGTGAGACCATCAGAAGTTTGCCGCAGTGCCATCACATGTTTCACCTATCATGCATTGATACATGGCTGTTGAGGCACGGCTCTTGTCCCTTATGCCGAAGGGATATGTAGGCCCGTGCATGATGCACAATCTCTGTAAATCACAGTATATAGCAAGTTTCTCAACTACTGTTGCCAAACTCTTGAGTCTGTGAGCCTTTTTGGATGTCATTGTGCTTGACCACATCTGCCCTGCAAAAAAAAAAAAGAAAAAAAAAGAAAAAGAGAAAAGGTTCATAGGATATATATACCACGGAGTAAAATACTCCCTCCGTTCTCAAAAACACTTCCTCTTTCATTTTTTCTACTTCCAACAAAACACTTCATCTTTTTATTAAAAAACCACTTTTACCTTTACTTTTTCATACCATACCTATCACATCATACTTTTTCTCTAATAATCTATCCATCACATCTTACTTTTACCCATCACATCAGGGGCAAAATTGAAAATCAACTATAATTTAACACTTCCTTATTTTTGCCCCCAAATCAAATGGGAAGGGTTTTTCCAAACGGAGGGAGTACTTTTCTAATGTATGTGTTTCATACCTTCGTTTTTTTTTTGAGAAATGAAAGCACTTGCATTCATTGGTACGGAGTATTAATTGTGTGATTTTGAATCGTCTATTGCCGATCAATGTGAAAATCCAACCGGACATCGAACCGGGGAAGCAAGTAGGTCAAGGGTTTGTTGGTCAGACTAGTTGTCGGCCTAGCAGTTAACGTGTTTTTATATACTATCTCTGTCCCTAAGTATTTGTTCAGTTTTGACTTTTTTTAGTTAATCATTTTCATGTTTTGACCTATAATTGAATAAACGGTGAGATTAAATCAACTCTCAAAATTGCTATATCCACTCGCTCATCCAAATGTGCTAAATCCACTCCCGCTTGTTTAAATTTCATATTTGCCATCTAGAGTACTAGTATCACACCTGTGCGTTGCACGGGTCATAGTTATGGTACTAAATTAAGATCATTTTTAGGAATATAAATTGGTATATAATGGAATATAGAAATTTCATTATTTTAAAGTACAAAAGTAAAATGATTTACAAATTTCGAAAGACTTATTTATAAACTACATCACTCGTATAATTCGTGTGAGCATTTACTTCGTTGTATATCAGAATCTTCAAGTCATTGTGATTTATTACTCTTGAAACTGCAACAAACACTTGCCCATGACTAAATACCGGTTTCCGTAATAACAATAATTCAACATGTTTCAGATATTGTCCCTGACAATAATTCAATAATTTGACTTATTTAAATAATAATTCAACATATTAATGTATCTATTTCGGAATTTGTATTTTTTAGTTTTATTTTCGTATTTAAATGGTATCATTTACTTACCCTATGGTATTTATTTTCTATTTTATTTTAGATCACTTACGATTTTATACTTATCCATGCTTGTAAATTATAGAATTAATAGTATTAATTTTAGAATACTTACCATTGTTACATGTTTCCATGCTTATAGTATTAATACTATTAATTTATAATTTTTTTATTTTTGCATTTAAATGGTACCATTTACTTTATGTACCATATTATCTTTAAATTTGTTTTATAACACTTACCATTTTAACATGTTTCCATGCTTGTAAATTGTAGTATTAATTGATAGTAAAAATTT